CAGTTGAAAGCCACGAACGTGAGCATAGTTATGATCGCGTTTTGGCGCAATGTTCACACCTGTCTTCCATTGATCTCGAACTTCGTTGGGTCAGTAGCGTCTCCGTAGTCAAAGATCTCGATTGTGTCGAGGGTGGGAATTGCCAGAGACTTCTAAAAACGCTTATTTACCTTATTTACAGACAAATTCTTTTGAGATTAGCCTGCTTCCCGAGCTTTTCCTAGTGAGCAGTGGGCCGGCAGAAATGAAGTGGCTCAATGCTCTCATCGTCAGAGTCGCTTCGTTCATGTCGAGCTTTCTCCCAAAAGTATATTAACCTGAAGGCCTACTCGTCTTCCACCAAAGGTAAAAGCCTATAAAGTGTACCATGAGAAAAAGAGAACAATTATACTAGTTGCTAAACAAGTTAAAAGAAACAACAAATGGTGATTCGTTTCGCCACGTTTTCTCAGACGAATCACCAGGTGGAGTTGACTCCCGTGGCTCGTCAGTGAGTAAGAGTCAACTCCACCCTAGAAAAACTAACCACATAATTACATAGACAGTAAAATAATAAAGGTCAAACTACCAACAAATAAACAATATGACATGAAAAAATGTAAACAGTGTGCTAAAACAAGATATCTAAAATGGGGCCTAAAAATATATTAGGTTTGCCTTCCAATGTACGTGTGATGTTCAGATATATTTGGAGCATGCTATCATAAGGCCACCCAATGTGAAGTAGAACAAGAACTATTACTCACTATTACTAGTATACGTATCAGATTAATCTAAATAATAATAACAACATGAATATTATTGTGAAAAAATAAAATAACCTAATATTATATAATTAGTCTGCTATTATTCGGTTTCCACACTTTCTTTAACAAACTTATATATGCCTTCATAGTTATAATCGAAAGAATACTTATATACAACGAACTTGTTTTTATATACACTTTACACAACATTAGTTAAAATGAACTCCTTAGTATATCCTTTAGTTATCAAGATTTTAACTAAATTTTTAATGTTAGAAATATATGTTGTAATGTTACTACAAGTATTTGCTATTCTGAGACATTCTGTATAAATAACTGAAGCTTTATTATTAGTTGAAATATTTGAATTTATATGCGGGAATCTGTTAACTTTAAATCCAAAATCATCCGTTTTATTATATAACTGTGTGTTAATTCTATTATTATCAATAGTTAAGGTCAGATCCAAATAATTACTGTAACTATTAGTAATGTGTGTTTTTTTCGAGAACTAAAGTATCTTTATACACTTCCTTCAGACATATTTCTATACTTTTTTTTGTTGATTGTGTATTATCAACAGATCATCCATATATCTGAAAGGAATGAACATAATATCTTCTTCCTTCTTTATCTTACTTGCATAATTGAATTCCATATTAGACAAGGTGAGATCTGCTAATATTGGACTAAAATTACCACCTTGAGGAACCCCAATCTTTTGTTTATAAATTTGTTCATCGTAAATTCAAAAACTATTATTTAAAATATATTATGCCTATTCCAGTTCTACAATACTGCTCCTAATTTTTGTTCAACCAACGGTTTGCGACGGATTACTCCGTCGCAACCCGTCGCATCGCCATAACTTTTGTTAAAGTGCTGCGATTACGCTGACACTAAGATCATCTGAAAGCTCTTCACATAAAGAATCCAAATATATAGTAATCATTCAATTTTCTCAAGCTTTTCGCCCTCCTTTCCAGGAAAAACGAAAATTGAGTCTCTCAGTACCTGGGGTGTTACTTGTGGATATGACAGCATCGTAAATCCTCCACTTCAATTGAAACCTTCGTTTCCGGTTTTCAAAGGGCCTGAACCGTGCTATAACTGAGGAGAGCATGGAACCCTGATCATTTCGATACCCTTCATGACATAATTCAAACACTTTCAGCTGAAAACAGTGGTGCAAAGCAAATTACCATGTTTTTAGACGTGCAGCCACGTATTTCGTACGACGGCCGTATGATTGCTTGTGAGGAACCCTGCCATGTCATAAATTTTTTATTTTTTCAATTTTGCAGCATCATTTTCATGGTGGTCAGCGAGTGAGTATTCAGCACCTGAGGTGCTTTCTGTAGATATAGCATGACCTTAAACTCTCGACTTCGATAGAAAACTTCATTCTGAGCTTTTAAAGACATTTGGAATATGGAAACATGAAATCATGGTTGTTTTGATATCCTAATGATACAATTCGAGAAATTCCAGCTGGAAACAGTGATTTCAATGATCAACTTTCCCAGAATTTGCTATTTTAGAGGTGCACTTTCTCGAGACGAATTATTCTGCATTTACTAAGACTTCCATTATGTGATCTGATATTCTGATAATAGAAGGATGAGTGTTCTCCTAATCGGACGTTGAGCTAATTGACCCCTCACCATCGATCTCTATTGGCCCATCGCTATCGCAACCGCCGAGCCCATCTAAGAGTACGCCTGTTGACACATATTGATATGCAGCTGGCAGAATGAAACGACCACGTCATGAAAAATACAGTTCCTCTATGTATATGTTGTGTTGTGTTTTCACTGTGTATATGTTGTTTCACTTGTACTGCCTTCCCATTTGACGGAAACTATGGGGCACCGACACTAAACACCGGTCAAATGAGCACAGAGAAGCACCCATTGCTTGCCAGCACTATTGTTTCAGCATTTGCAAGCGCTGTGTATGACTGAGGATCCGAACCCATATGGAATCCATGTCAGGTTCAAACATGAGACAAATGCACTCCCGCTGCGCCATTGGCCAACTCAACATGAGCGCATTTCAATCAACCACTTAGTAGGGGTTTAGCTGGCTGCGGTAACAGTAAGAGAAGGCCGATCGATTTCTGACAAGTCAGGTCACGTTGCGGCATGATTCACTAAATAGTCTTATTAAAAACTCACATTTTGCTCAAAACTCAAATAGAATTATATTTTATTACAAGATGGACCAATTAAATACTTTTGATTCTATGGACGAACTCGCAGTCGTTAGGGTCAGTTTCAGAAAGGAATGATTTTCTTAATCCTATCACTACAACGGTTACATCGCTTACATTTCTTTTAGCTTTGCTATGTATACGATCAGGGANCGTGTATCATGCCTAATAAACTTTTCCATTCTAGCCTTTTGCTGACATTTCTTTTCACTAAAAGCTATTCACTAAATTATAAACTTACTTACATCATAGGTTGCCTTGATAATGTTGAATATAACTACAGTACAAGACGTATTTGAGTAGATTGCACTCATGTGGCTCAAGAAAACATGGCCTTGCAGACACAGTGAGTCCTAAGGAGATCGATAACGAGGGGTCAATTCACTAGCTCCACTATTAACCATTAGTCAGTCGAACATATATATGTATATACATATATATTTGAATTGTGATAAATGTGTGATAAATCGTGAGTGAATCATGTCGCAACGTGACCTGACTTGTCAGAAATCGATCGGCCTTCTCCTACTGTTACCGCAGCCAGCTAAACCCCTACTAAATGGTTGATTGAAATACGCTCATGTTGAGTTGGCCAATGGCGCAACGGGAGTGCATTTGTTTCATGTTTGAACCTGACCTGGACTCCATATGGGTTCAGATCCTAAGCCATTCACACTGCTTGCAAATGGTGAAACAACAGTGCTGGCAAGCAATGTGTGCTTCTCTGTGCTCATTTGACCGGTGCATAGTGTCTGTGCCCCATAGTTTCCGTCAAATGGGAAGCCGAGGGACAAATCAAGATAGCGCCTTTAAACAAGCGAAAACTTACACGCGAGTTAAGGTAGTACAACTAGACTCAATAAACAAAGTCAAACAGTATTTATCATAGCATGGTCATTTCATCATGCCAGTTGCATACCAATATGTGTCAACAGGCGCACTCTTAAATGGACCAGGCAATAGCGAAGGCGATGATCCAATAGAGATCGATGGTGAGGGGTCAATTAGCTCAACGTCCGATTAGGAGGACACTCATCCTTCTATCATCAGAATATCATATCACATAATGAAAGTCTTTGGGTAAATGCAGAATANTTCGTTCCCGAGGAAGTGCACTTCTGAAATGAACTAGCAAATTCTTGAGATGTTAACCATTGAAATCACTGTTTTCAGGTGGAATTTTTTGAATTGTATCATTAGGGATATCAAAACAACCATGATTTCATGTTTCCAAATTCCAAGTGTCTTTAAAAGCTCAGAATAAAGGTTTCTATCGAAGCGAAGAGTTGAAGCTTATGCTATATCTGCAGGAAGCACATCAGGTGCTGAACACTCACTCGTTGACCTCCATGAAAATGATGCTGCAAAACTGAAAAAACAAAAATCCATGACATGACAGGGTTCCCCACAAGCAATCATACGGTCGTCATACGAAATACGTGGCTGCACGTCTAAAAACATGGTAATTTGCTTTGCACCACCGTTTTCAGCTGAAAGTGTTTGAATTATGTCGTGAAGGGTATCAAAATGATCAGGGTTCTATGCTCTCCTCAGTTATAACGCGATTCAGTCTCTTTGAAAACCGGAAACGAAGTTTTCAATAGAAGTGGAGGGTTTACGATGCTGTCATATCCTCAAGTAACACCCCAGGTACCGAAAACTCAATTTTCGTTTTTCCTGGAAAGGAGGGCGAAAAGCTTGAGAAAATTGAATGATTACTATATATTTGGATTCTTTATGAGAAGAGCTTTCAGGTGATCTTACTTTCAACGTGATCGGACACACTATAACAAAGGTAGGGTCGAATGCAGCTGAGAACTTGATTTCACAAAGCTAATCAGCTACTACTGAAGGGTGCCGAACCGGAGAGAAATAAAAGACTGTACTCGATAAGCAGCACTCAAGTCGAAGCTTCATCTAATTCTTCTGGGAGTGCTGTAGAGTGAAGAGCTACCTACTATTTTGCACGGCTTACTATTCTGCTTAAACACTTTTTTGGATTCTCGTTACCGATCGCAGACGAAAAGCCCCTCTTTTTGTTCTCATTTTGTTCGACAGCGCTCAAAACTCACAGCTTTTCTCTCCGTTTTGATCACCAGACGTCCACCTTTGTTAGTCTTTTGGTACTTGAATGACCACTGATAGTAGTTGTGCGTGGCGAACGACTCTATCACACTTTCGCCGTCATCCCAATAAAGAACTCCTTCAGCCTTACCTTTATTACCTATAATTTTCTTGATTTAACTCAATTTTTAAGTTTCTCATTTCAAAGTGAGCCTTTATCAAATTTTTTTGAGCAACTTCAGAGGAATTTATTTAAGTATTCTATTTTATTTCTTTTTTTGTAAACGATTTAACTGAAAATGCTGAGCTTACTGCCTCCCGTGAATGGCACAATCAAGAGCTCGAAAGGATTTTTTCGAGACGCAGAAGTTGTTCTGTTCGGTTCTTGGCGAGGTAAAATAGAGCCACCTGTTTAAGTAAAATAGAATAATTCAAGGAGAAGGCTCATGATGGTTTCTTATTTGATCATCTGAATTTTTATTTGCATCCGCAGCCTACAGGCATTTTCTTCCGTTCCATTCATTTTCTTAATCGGTGCTTAAAGTTAAAGTTTAATGTTTTTGGCATAATCAATCCCGTCCGTGGGATGCGCCCCNCCCCGCACTTGACTTCCATTCAGAATCGTAGTGGCGTCATGAGTGCGTATGCGGCCTATACAATGACTTGCAGTGGCCAGCCAATGTACAAGTCAGTGTTTTTATCCTTCCAGATGAGTCTGGTAAAAATTCACCGACCCCGGAGGGATGGAAGGCTTGGCTGGCCTATTCGGTCATCGATCCGGGATTCGAACCCCTGCCCGTGCGTGTGATATAGTGCGCCACTTGCCGCTACACCAACTCCGTCCTATACTGGTGCCTACCATTTTCGAATGCCTAATGACTATTTTTAGTCATAACTGAGTCTTATCTTTCTACCGTCTATTGTGACACATTTTCTGTTTTCCTCATTATTGGTTGTTTGTCTACAAATGCTCTTGAAATCTTTCAAATTGTTTTTAGCCACGTATTTTTCTAAGGTGGTAGTGTAACCGTGGCCAGAAAGCTATAAAACAACCTCTGACGAAAATAGGAATAAGCGATGTTGTTGGAGCTTGGAACTCCTGAAAGCCGCTATTGAATGCACGACCGTAGTAGCGATCATCGTATACCGAAAACCAGTCATCTTTGGGTATGTAGACTTTTACCGATTTTGCTTTCTGAATTAGTCGGTTTGAATTTTCACGGGCTGGTAGTAGTTCAAAGCTTACTTACCTCATATACTACAGGAGCGATGAGCATCGATGGTCCCCATAGAAACTGGTAACTTAAATCGTACGTGGATTTGTCACCGGGATATTCGTAGAACATTGGTCGGATAACAGTGCCTCCTTTCACTGAGGCAATGAAGTGCAAACTGGAAGTATACTTGTGCGGTAGGTATTAAGAACAACCAGCGTCCTTGCTTTTGAGCTTATTCATGACCTCGAATATTCCTGCCTTTAACTCTTTATAGTCTCTATTACAAATGTAGGTGCACAGAAGTCACAAGAAGACTGTCATCTTGATTTCCAGGTTGAAATGATTGTTATTTGTTTGCTTCGAAATATTCGCAGATACCACATAAACAATCGGGAATCTACATTTTTACATGCTTGTCGCTTCATGTTTTTTGGTGTGTAAAGACCATTTTTGGAAAAACATGTATCCCTTTCCATTGAGTGACCATTTAATACTTCTATTCCAGCAATCCAATCTCGGCATTTTACGAATACGGTCTCTTTTTACCAAGAAATTGATCATCGTTTAGCTACCAGAAAAGCCATCTAGTAATGTGTTGAACTAGAATGAAAGATGCTACGCTCATATAGGACCAGCTATTTCCTACAATCCTACTGTAATGTACAGTTCCTTGTGTCACCTGTGTGAGGATGCATCTTCGTCTAATATTTTACCTGTACAGATACGGTAAGTATTTGTAGCGGAAGAAAGCAGCCTTCTTCGTCGCCTCAACCACTTGTGGCCATTGTGCTGGATCTTGCGGCTCTCCTTTTTTCACATTATGATTCCTGAAATCTATTTTTGATATTGAGATCTTCGAGCTAGAATTGCTTTCTTTGCATTTAGTGAACAAACGATTTTCTATTGCCTGAAACACGTAGTTTGTGTACTTTTGTAGTATGAAGGGTGTTTTAGAATGCTGTTTCGAGCACTGTTTTGAGCAACTTTTCTCTACCTAATTTTTTTGCGGGTGTCGTCAGCGACGTGATTTCCCATTACTCAGAGGAATAATAAGTTTTAATTCTTCCAGTNATTCTTACAATAATATAATTCTGATATAAATATATTCAACAGGGGAGTGCTTGGAGGATAGGAGGATCAATTGAATATTTCAGCGCCTCAAAAGTTAGTGTACATGGGTACATTCACCCAATTCTCGATAAACGCGTCAAACCGCGCGGCGAAATTCGTAGTGATTTAAACGACTCTGGCGCCTATGATTGAGGCCCAGATTTTAAGCAGATTGGATAAGTAGGACCAGCTGATGCTACTTATCCACCATACTTCAAATTTGTGCTCCAATGCTAGGCGCTAGCGTCGCTTCAATCACCCCGGACTTCGCCCCGCAATTTGCCCGTCCGTCCACAATTGAGCGAATATTCCGCCATCCCAAAAGCTATTAAGTTATTTACTGTAGTGTAGTGTAGTGCAGACACATGTCGGAAGGCTGGCACTGGTTCGGATCTCGCCCAAAGCTCAACGCTGATTCCATAAGTTGGTACCTTCATGAAACCATACGCCTTGATCAGAACTGGTGCGGAGAGCACCAAAAAAAAACTGACAAAATGGATTGAATTTTCCTAGCACTATAAACTACAATCAAGGGTCACTCCATGTTACCTCATGAATGGATGAAATGCTCCCAACTGTTGCCATCGTAGACAGAGCTCTTCAGAAGGCTTTCCATGAAAGCCACAGATATCTGCTCCAATATACCTGATGAAAAGAGTTTTTCAGTTTTGAACGTTTAGGCTAACAGCAGATCTGAGCCATAATCTGTACTCACGGTATTCCAAACATGTTGAATTCTGAAGCACCTATGATGGAAGAGCGAAGATCTTCCCAAGTGGCCGCATTGTCTCCTAACCAATGTCCTGCGTATCGACCAGCTGATGGGAAAGTTGACCTGCAAATGGAATGCCATTTTTCCGTTTTCAGACTGATTTGGCGAACCAAACTACAGGAGTTCCTATCAGTCAAATTTTTTCGACTTTTAGGTAGTCGAAAAGTTGGGAAATGTTGTGTTCACAGGCGGATGAAGACTAGCATTTGTGAACTTCTTCGGAATCCTCGACGAGCTAGTGTGTTGCGTAAGATGGGCCATGACCTACGACTGGCCGGAGAGTTTGAGGTACCCCCACCCCACCTCAGCGCTCCTCCCCTTTCGAGGCTTTGGTTAAAACTATGATCTTTTGCCTAGAACCGTCTCTAAGCAGTAGGGATGGTTACCCCTCTTTCTCTACACTCTAGGCATCAGTGTTGGATAAAAGCGATGCCCCTTCCCCTCCCCACCTCCAACTCCATGACTGCATTTTCTAACTACTTTGTGGAAGTAGTGAATGAGGCCCGGCGTAAGCCGGGAAACTCGACTAGTAACGCGATGAAGTAGCAGTACATACTCCGTAACAATACGAAAAGAAGACCTGATTTGGCTGGCAGATGACAGCTCTTATCAGTTGTTACTGGTCTTTATCACCAACAATCTACGATCCCGAAGAAACGTACATAGCTCCGTAGAGGGCCACCGGCTCTATGGCTCTTGATACCTATGGCTGCTAACCAACCTCTACCAATAGTTATTAGTCCTTGTCACCGCTCAGCTACGGATTACGGTAGTGCCGAGCTAAGACTCTTACACGAAGGGCATAATGGTTCACTCAACATTGCTTTCCAAGGCTCTTCTTCGGTCCCTTCTAATTGTTATATTCTCTCATCATATATATATACAGTGTTCCCATCCTACCTGTTATGAACTTCTACAAGTACATACACATATATCTGCATACATGCATTCAGGCACACATACACCCGAGACACACAAAGAGACACACAACGAGACACACACAATTAGCGCCTTATATATCCCTCCCTTATTACAGAACAGTCAGTGTATAGTAATTCGAAATCTGCCATTCAAACTCGTGAGGTAGAGTTTCCGAACATGTCGGTCACTTTTCCACAGAATGTATTCCGAGGCTTACCGTGAAATCACGACTCCTCTTTTTCCCATTGCTGTATGTTGAGCCTGCAGAGTTGCTTTCGCTTCACTCCAGCCATAAAGGTTTTTCACATCGTAGAACCTTAGCTTTCCATCCCCTTGTACTGCGGTCATGCACAGCGTTTTTGAAGCCAAGCTCCATTCGATTTTTGAAGCCAAGGTCGATACCTAAAAAAACTTTTCTGAAAAATACACAAAGATAGTCCTTGCCTTGCCGCTTAGTACAGTAGAGAAGATACTCTGTGAGAAATAGTGTGTGAGCTTTTTCCTATTTTCAATCCAATGCATTCTCAACTGCAGAATCGATTCAGTTCAACGGGTTTCGACGAATTTTTAAGTTTTTTTCCGCCAGTCGCTAATCGCTTAGGGCCCCACTACCTGTGCCCAAACTCTCGAGCTCCTGCCTTTCGCAGTACTACTTGTGTAGGACATGAAGCTGTTTGGGCTTTTGTTCCCTTCACGATTCTTTTCGATTTATACTAGAACTCACTTTTTTGTAGTAATAAACTGAGTGCGTCTGATATGGTGGCACTTCCCATTCCTTATCCACCGAACCAGACGGGCACCACAGCTGTTCTGCGTTGGGATGGTCGCCTTCTCCAAAATACCATGGTTCATTCTCATTGGTACCAAAATTAGCGGGCTCGTTCATATCAATCCAAATGCCATCATGTGGTACCTTAAAGAAAGCATCTCGAAGTCGATGACACTTGATGCTCAATAGATAAAGAACACTTGAAATTACTCATAAGTTGTGAGAAGGCGAGTGTTCGCAAGAACTACAAAAACAATTGTTTAAAAATTGTTCCGTGATCTACATGCAAGCTATATTCCAGGGGAAACATTGGGGTGAGTAGTTATAGAAGTAATTAAAAGCACAGTTCACGATAATTTTGGGTAATCCAGATTATGATGAAAAATGGATGACAAGATCGAAAATAGTGCGATGAAGTTGGAGAAACTGCGTGAATCGGTGTTTCCAAACTGGAAAAAGGCTTCGAAAAACCGTTAAACTGGCAGCTGGACGGGAATGAGTTTAGAAAAATGAAGAAGAGTGGGGCGTCCGGATGAGCTATAAAATGTGTCTCACTGCGTACGTTTGGGTCCTGGTACGAGTAACAGACTATGGTGAGCAAAAACTCATTCACTTATAAGCATAAGTGAACAAAAAACCTTAGTAACAGCAAAACTAGCTCACCTGTTTCAGACTCTAAAAGTAGGAAATTAATCAAGGGATCGCGGCAGCAAAAAGAATAACAGAGGAAAAAAATGGGAGAAAAGAGCCGCTTCATCACTCGGCGACCAGCTGATTGTGTGTGGGTCCTAGAAAGAATAGTTGCAATCTGTATTGTCCAGACACTCGTCTGACCGTCTGGCGTGACATCGATCGACAGGGGGGAAGGCCATTGACGTTTTCGCCCATTGAATTATCGTGAACTGTGCCTTTGAAGGCACAATTTACGATAATTTTGAGATCCCCTTTTTATTCGAAAAGGGGAAATATAGGTCGGAAATAGTTCATCGGTAGTGAAGAAAGCGAAAGGATTCGCCGGTTTCGAGAGAACAATGGCTCTTCAAAAGTAGGGAAAATAGAGGTTGGATGAGATTGCCATGACGGAAATAACATGCAAGGGTTATTCGGACGAGAACTCAGTATTGCATTTGCACAGAGAGCTGCCTACATCAAGCAAAAACTGTCCAGAATTGCCTTTCACTGTCGCTATGGGTCATGACAAGTGGTTCCTACATAGGGTCTCTTGTGAATGGTGCACCCTCTACAATGCAGCTGAAACTCGTCCGAGGATACACACGGTACATTCTTTGGGCTTTTACAACGCCCTTACTAGGCCATTTTCCGACCTAATAGCGCCAGGTACGGGAGCTCGAATTCATCCTAAGGGAAAATCAAAGAAGTCATTTTGATCGTGAACTGTGCCTTCAAATTTATGGCATCGGTATTGTTGTACTCCTGGTAAGAATACAGCTCAGGCGAAGCAGATTGGAAGATCAGCCCGAGCTTTTACGTTGAATTGACATTACTGCGGCTCCTCGATCACATCACTTGAATTTCTTCAGAATTTCCAGTACACTACGGGGTATTTTGAAAGCGCTTCTTCAGTTATTATTGGTTGCTGCTGCTGCGTGATTTTTTTTCACCAAGTGTGCATAGTATACGTGCAATAGATTCAGTTAACTGATCTGTATATTGAAACAACTGCTGTGTTCAACAACAGTTGAGGTTAAGACGGCGAACAATTGTTCATGTTTATCATACAGTAAGCTTAACGCGACTCTGATGTTGAGAATTGATTACAGGAGGCAGCGACGCGGAAGAGGATGGAAGAAGCAGTGAGGACAACGGGAACGACGACGACCCATCGGGGCTCTCCGATGGAGCCGAAGACGAGATCAACCACCACGGCACGCCTCGGGTCCGAAGAGGCTCGGCACATTGCGTATTCGGTACTTGTTATTCTCCAGTAGCTGTACATAATCGATAAATGATATCTGTGTTACTGTCGGCTGTACATCTGAGGAGGGTGAAAACGCGAACACATTGCCTGCTATTTTGATCAAGGATCTTGAAAATTATCACCTTGTCATGAAATCTGGCAATTTCCTGAATCCACCACTTCTGTGTGGCATTAGTGGGATCGAGGAAGTCCGGAAAGGCGACGTGCCGATCTGGCCATACAACACCAAGCATGATCTTCGTGTCTTTCACGAGAGGGTACTGATCCTGGAATGAATTCATTATAATGTCAAAGTTCTTCCAGTAACAGTGCGAAATACGACCCATTCAAGCTCAATGAACTAATGTTTATCAATTTCATCTCAGATTATGTCGGATGTTACTAAAGAGATGTTATTATTCTGATGCCTTCCACCACTTTTATTGTCGCACAGTCATATTTTACAGTTCCGACATTAAAGTGATGTTTTCGATCGGTACTATACACCCTCAATTCTGTTGTCGCTGAATGTTGTAAACAATCACCAAATTTAGACTTTTCAAATCCTGATATTCAAATGCCTTTACCTGAATAGAGCGCATCACTTGGTCGTGACGCTCCCATTCTATGAATCGGGCTCCCTGGAAAAATTTATATTGCCTTCACTTCCTAGCAAATTTATCGAATTATCAGCCCTGTCAAGAGGTGGTGCGTGCAAAGTTGGTCCTCATAACTTTCACCTAGCTGTGAAAAGATTTCCTAATAATTCGATATGCCAGTAAATTTGGAGTAAGCATAGCCAATCCTATACATGGCCGGCTACAGGCATGCCTCGCTTGGTTGAGGTCCATAGATAGCGGGTTCGAGAAGTGTGTTTCGATCACTTTACGATTTTCAGCAAATCTTAATTAGTTGTCTCGTCGTACAGGAAGCCTTCTCTACGGGTACGGGTATGTAAATAGGTGCGTCCGAGGATGCGCGCGGCGAAACAACGACAATTTTGATGACTCTAGCGCCTATCACTGTGCTACAGAGTTAAAGTAAAAAAGATCAGTAGGATCAGCTGATCCTACCAATCTGCTGTACTTCAAATTTGAGCCCCAATGATAGGTGACCCTTTTTCTTTGAAGGAAGTGAAGTTTTCTAATCCAATCTTGCTCACCCCTTTTAGACCTCTTTCAAAGGTCTCGTGATCGACTTGAATTGCAGGATCATAGATTAATATGACTCGCATACCCCAGCTCTGTACTTCCTTCAAGTATTCCGGCATTCCCGCAAACTTCTGCAAGACTTTCTGATCTACTATTTGATAGGAGAAAAAAACTTTCAATGAATTATCAACTGCAAAATGAAAGCTGAAAAAATTGAAGGGTTGGATGATTGTGCTGGAACTGTTCGAGTTTTTCGTTAAACGGTTCACTGAACTTGTTTCGAGAGCGAGAGTTCGCTTAAACTGGGCTCAAATTTGGCTTTTCGCTTGATTTCTCTAATTTAAAGGCACAGTTCACAAAAAAGTGGTTTCAGAGATTTGCACATTTTTTGAATTCGAAGCCCCCTCTGATATTATTGTGCAGTAATGAGGTCGGAAAACGGTCTGGATAGGCACAATAAGGGCAGGAACAGTGGGGGACGTCAGGCCTCCGCCCCTCGCTAGGTTGACTACGAGTTCAAATTGTCCTTCACCACTTTCGCATTGGAGCAACATTAGTGGAAAATCGATAGGCTGGTTGGCAATTTGCCCACAGACGGTCAGCTGGTCGACCGCCTCGTATTGGGACTACTATTCGGCTGTTTCTCTAGTATTCGACTATATTCTACGCTTTTCTATTCTAATTAATTTTTCTCAGCCGTCGTCAAAAGGTCGAAATTGATACTGCATAATAAATCAGATTAATAGCGGTAGGAGAATTAGTTTTAATGAATAAGCCAAAATCAGCTGTTGGTGTGTTGTGTGCAATGGCAGACACTGCGCCGCGTTTGTCTGACTCGCCCGAAAAATTCTTATCGCCGTTTTTTCGCCATTTAGCTCGTCCGACCCCCCTTTTCCCTTGTTTTTTGTAACTGTCTATTTCTTTATATTCATCTTTTTTCGCGTTTTCTTTATTACCACTGTACTATTGTAGGCCGTATCTAACATTTTTTGTCAAATTTCGCCAAAAAACCGGATACCCCAAAATTAACGTGAGCTTTGCCTTTAAGGGTGTAGCGTCAGAGTCGCGTGCATGTAGAAGTATCTTATGCAGTGTAGGGGGTTGTACTTTCGTATTTTAAAAGGGTTCAAAACATATCATTGTAATAAAGTGCTGTGGTACCCTCCATGAAAAAAGCGGAAATTTTTACGAACTGTATGTTTGTAATCCCCCTGGGCCTTTCTTCTCCTCATACGCCCCATATTCGTCGCCACCTTACAATTACGGAATACTGGATGACATTGGCGGTAAATCTGTGGGAAATGTGATCCGTACTTTTGGCCTGTATAAAGGCTTTAAAGGAGCAGCTGCCATCAAGATAGAGTTAGCCAATTTGTGACGGTCGAACCTGATGCAGATGTCACACAAGATATACAGTACATATTGAGATTTCATATGATTAGATCAAGTAGGAAAGGAGCTACGACTGAAAAGTACGACTTAAAAGCATTTGGCAGAAGACTTTTGAATGCTACTGTGTATGGAGGAATCGCTTGAATGGAAAGGGTTTCGTGGTTGGAGCTGAGTTGAGCGTCTTCGCCTAACTACGTTGCTCATAGTTTGCTCAAATGAGCAGCAGATCCATGTTATATTGCCGGGATTTATATTGTTTTTGTTGATGCCCGGTTCACGAGATGTGAAAAAATGATAAGGCATACCTCTCCAACTGTGAAATCTTTATATCGCTCCATATAATCAATATCAACTACAACCGTTTCCAAAGGAACACCAGCTTCCCTATTTCTTTTAATAATTCCCTTCAGATGATCCAAATTTTCGTAACCATAGCGCGATAACTGAAATCGGAAATTCAGTGATCTTTGAATCCAGGTAAGAACGCCTGTTCCATGGAGACTGTTGTTAGAAGTGGCACTTTTCAAAGCTCAACGGCTCACTTGGAATCCGAACGCCCAGTATGCTGGAAGAACGGGCGTCCCAATAAGGGCTAAGTACTGTTGAGTAACTTCTTCAGGAGATGGTCCCGGAAAGAAATACAAATCTAAATTTCCTCCAATCGTCCGATAGATTACCGCAGGGCCTGGCGCTGTCGTGACCTCCTAGGAATAGAAACATCGAAACAGAAGCTTACTGCTTGTTCGATAAAAACAAAGGAAGTACCTGGGCGTTACTGTTCAGTATAAATACTCCGTGAGCCTTGCCGTCAGGTTCGATGACCATATAAAATGGATGCACTCCTTCGAACATAGTTTTCAGATCTACTTTTCAGATCAAGTGATAATGAAGGGTCAGGCAAATGTTACCGTAAAGATTCTTCGTGCTCAATTTGCTTAAATCGGGAGGTTCATCTCTGGCAAACATACCCCATGTTCGATACTTTGAAAAATCATGCTGAAGTAGATTCCCTACGTAATTACGAATCTGATTGTGAGCATTGAATAACCAGGCACCTTCAAAGTTGGATGAGCATTCTCACCCCAGCCATACATTGCATCCGAAGGCAAGTAAGAGGCTATTTGAAGAAACTTATCGGCAAAGATTAAGCCACCTATGAAGAATGCTTGTGTTTCCAATTATCAGAAGCAATTTACCAGAAAAACACTTGCCTATAGAGGTGTCGAAAACCTGTGTCCCTGTTGACTCCCGTTTGATTATGAAATGAAAAATCTCATCTGCTCTTGCAGCGAACTGAAAACCTCGAATACGCCGGCTTATGCATCTTCGAAATGACCGTTCGAATCTTCTCTATCGACCAGAGTAAGATTGAAAGAAAATTCTTACAAGCAAAGTATCGGCTGAGCTGGAAGGGTTCCTTGGTAAGTCAACGGGAGGTTCGAATCTGTCAAAGCGAGAACTTAGTAGGAACTCAAGATTTGTAAAAGTTTGAGTATAAACATCCATACCGTCCTTCCGCGAATATTTTCACATTCAGTGTCTTCCCAATGTTCTCGGTTTTTAGTCGAATTCGTTCGAGATCGTTACTCCATGGACTTTTAGGACCCTCTGTTCTCCTCAATGTTATTATCTGGAAGCAATCTCTCTATATATAATCCACAAGTTTGGTGTGTCTGTTTGTTT